TGGTCACGTTTGCCTGTTTTGTAAGAAGGAGCTGAAGAAAAAGTTAAGTCTCCACTAATATTGATAGAATCAAAATTACTTCATGTAAATATGTTTGACAATTTATTTCATCCTGGCTATATCTCCAGAAGAAGAATTCAGAGCATTTTATACTCTAAATAATGTCAAAGTAATTGTCTGGTTGTTTTGGGAGCTTTTTTCCCTCTTTACAAAAGTAGGAATGTGCATTTTCAGTACTTTGGGAGAGAAACACAGGAGAGAGTATTCATTCTAAAAATACTGCCCAGGTTTAACTAATAGTAGCTTTCAAAAAAAAAAAAATTCAGATGTGTTTTCATGTCTGGGATTTGTTTTGGGGTTTGTTTTTTTTTCATAAACCCCTTTTTCCGCTGAGTCAAGAAGGCAGTGAGGTCATGGTGGGTGCATGAGAACTGACCTGAATTTTAATAGACCTAACGACATGCTTCGCTGTTTCCTTAAATGAAAGCACCCTTAGCTAAGCAGGATGTTTTTCCCTTTGTCTATTTTTGCAACAAACACCTGCCAATAGATCTTTAATAACATAAATTGTGCATGGTCTCTTCTGAAAATGTGCTTTTGCATTAGCACTACCTCTGTTTGCTGCCACAGTCGTCCTTAGCTACGTGGCCTCATTGAAAAGACGCGGTGCTTTCCTGGCTCATTTTGAAGTGTGAAAGCTCTGATTTTTACTCTGCATTGACATATCATTTATTTTTCCAAATGTGAAGTTGTTGTAGAAGTATTACATGACTGCCTCAGTTCTCGAGTGTTCCTTGAAACACTGAACTTACTTTGTAAGCTTCTTGGGACAGAAATGCTGGTTTTGCCTTGCCTTTGGACAGCGCTTATCTCAGTGGCAACTATAATAAGGGTCCCAATGCAACCAGATGCAAATCATTTTACAGACAGAGTTAAGCTGGAAAATCAGCTCTCAGGTCTTTCCAGTCCTCTGTGCTGAATATTGCTGTGTGCATTAACGGTGTAATGCCTAAAAACATAGTTCTGGAACTGAGCATCCCCACGTCAGGAATAATGTGGAGTATTTTATTTTCTATGATAAAATGTAATACTTGTGTTTTCTCTTGAGGCAGTGCACAAATGGGGACAGGCATTGCAAGGTGTACTTGTGAGGAAAACAAGCAAGTCCCTCTAGTTTTGCGTCCATCACTCTGACATACAATTGTGGTCCATAGCAAATTCCTATGATCATCCGGAAGTGCAAGCCTGCCCTAAAACGTTGCTATTCCATCTCCAGCTTTGGGAGAGCTGAGTGGAGGAGGGAGCAGGCTACGTTCCTGCAGACCAGGACTATATATGCTAGAGGATTCCCTTCTGAACTCTGCCGGAGCAGTCTCAGTCTACACCAACACAACCAAGCCTGGGGTGTTCAGATTCCCAAACATTTGGGTGCACCAGGGTTTAGCGGGTGGGTGCCTACCCACCACGTGCATTGCCTAGGGAGAGTTGGATACCAGCACGTCCCCTGGAAGTGAGGAGGTACCAAAGCCAGCTACTAAGGAAAATGAAAATAGGAAGCATCTCTCAAAATTCACTTGTCTGGAAATAGGGTATCAATTGCAGCTGTGCCAAAAGCATGTCCACAAGACTTGCAGGTTAAGCTGTGACTCTTTCCTTTATTCTGATGCCTGAGATCAGGCTAACTGTGTAGTCTGACTGGGTTCACTCTTCTCTTCGGAAACACAGCCAGTAGTAAGAGGCAGTAGTTTTAGTGAGAATTGTGTTTTGTGATGTAGCTTAATAGCTGCTCACCCAGAAAGTGAGACCACGTTCTATGCCTGAACGTAGCCTGAGGTTTAAAGCTTTATACTGCTGTGACTATGGAAGAAGAAACTAAGTTGGCTGGGAAGGTGCTAAACTACTCCTTTCCTTTTGAGTTTAAGACATGGTACAGAAAAGAGACAATGTGAGTGAGAAGAAGGAAGAGAGAGCGTGTTATTTTTGGCCAGTAAGGACAAAATCTGAGGCTTTGATTCTTCTCCAGACATGACTTAGGCATTTAGAGTTAAGGACTTGGGAACAGAGCACACAGCGATACTGTAAGCAGGGACTTCGAAACGGACTGTGTATCCATCCAAGGTTGTTTGTCTCATACCAAGTACAAAATGAACATGATCTGAGTTGGAAATAGTAACAAATAATAAGGTGGACAAGACAATTTATACGACTGATGTAGTTTTCAAGCTAACAAAATAAGAAAAAGAAGGCTGCCCTCTAGCTTGAAGGGTTGGTGTTCCAGGGGAAGGGACGGTATGCAGGGCAGCATCCTGAGGGGGGTCAGCAACATCGCGGTTTAGAAACTCGTTGCTTCTGATTTCAGAGAGATCTCTCTCTGTATATAGGATTCATTCTGAGCTAGGGGTTGCATTCTTTATCCTCTTCCTCAAATAATTCTCTTTTCGAATACTGGTAAGTGCATGGTGTTACATGGATGGAGCTTTTTTCTCAAAACCTCTTGTCCTCAAACATGCATACTTCTGTCCTGCCGGTATGCATGGCCCTACAGAATCCTCATCTGGACATCATCTGCTGACGATGCTACAACATCTCATCACCTGCGAGGTGCTGAACCTCAAGAGTTCAGCCAGACCCTGGCCGCAGGAGGCAAGTTTGCAAGGAGCGTAACTTGCAGTCAATTCCAATACTTCTGGCTGTGGTCTGCCTGTGTTAATTGCCATGTTCAGTGTGATACTTTCCCTTCTTTGTATCACCCAGTTCTCTTCTAACATCATAGTTATACGAGTAAGAAGATAGTTTTGTGGGAATTCTAGGAGAGAAGAAGAATACATCGTACTCATCCAGTCCTGAAAATTGAGTCCACGTTCTAAGTGTAGGGCATCTATGTTCGGTTCTTGCAAATGTTTTTGCTGCTATTATTCTTTGCTTTAATGATTAACCTCGAAGCCATTATACTTTTGGGAGTCATTTCATTGTCTTTGTGTTAATTTTAAAACCTAAGAAGATATTAGCACAACAGCTTTTTAAAGTTAGATTTCAAAACTACTTTCCATGCTACTCCATTTTTATCAGGAATGGATTCTAATTCAGTAGATTACTGAGTTTTGATGCTGGCTCAGTTTTCTGTATGTGCTTTAGTGTGTGTCTAACTGAATCAAGCTGCTACTCTATTTTCCAACATTCCAAAAAGTGAGTAATGTTTACATGGGACCACTTTCCTTAAAACACAAAGTCCTACCGCTAGGTATTAACTGTCAGCTTTTACTCACTCCAGTGCTGGCTTATGCACTTCTACAAAACTCAGTTTAGGAAGCTGCCTGCTTCGTTGCCTGATACAACATTGCTCAGATCAAAGCATTTCAGCAGTTTACGTAGACGTTTCTTACAGTACAGCGGCGGGGGAAGCCCGTTGCAGAATTAGAAAGCCTGAACTGTGTTACATGACAGAACGTGCTTTCAGCAAGCAGCTTCTTTCCAGTTTGGCAACGTTGGCTTCAACATGCCTGAAGTTAGGGCTCTATTAAACCGCTCTGAAACCGAGGCCACCGAGAACATCCACGCTTGAGTAGTTTATTGAACAAATATTTTGCCTGATGCAGTACCCTCAGCACCTTTTTGGTGTCAGTTGAAACATTGGCACCGATTCTGATTTTGAAACTTCTCCTAGGGTGAGGAGGACAAATGCTTCACTCCTGCAAGATCTTTTCTAGGTTGTCCTCCATACGTAACATGGAAGAGCTGCAATGTGGTCAGCAGTACTCAGCATGCAGGGTTGACTTTTTCTTATCTCTAATTCTAAATTACAGCAGGGCCGCCAAGGAGTTTGTTCCTTCTGACCCCCCTTGGGCAAACTAGCCTGGGCCACCTTCTGTCATTTCAGGTGTGACACAAAGAGCCTGCGGGCTCCCAACCACTGCTCCTTCCCACCAAGGCGGCTGGGTGAGCCCAGGGACGGTTCAGAGAGCAGATGCAGTTTATTAGCCATTTGTATCTCTGAGTGGAGCCGATTCCCAAAGCTTGGATCACAGGGTGCAGCAGGGCTTCAGAAACTCAGAGGAGGTTTCCATGTGGGCCAAGCAGTGCGTGGAGTGCCTAGTCCTAACTTGGCCCCTCAGGCTTGTCTTAACAGCAAGCGCTTTCGCGGGCCACTGTTGGGCAGCTGGCTCCTGAGGGCAGCTGGCGGAGGGGGATGACGAGACCCCTAACCCTAATGGCAGCTGGCGGAGGGGGACGATGAGACCCCTAACCCTAATGGCAGCTGGCTCCTGAGGGCAGCCAGCGGAGGGGGACACG